TGTAGCCTCACACACACAGAGAGAGAGAGAGAGAGAGAAAGAGAGAGAGAGAGAGAGAGAGAGAGAGAGAGAGAGAGAGAGAGAGAGAGAGAGAGAGCATGTAGACCGTTGTTGAGCACACGAACACCTAAAATATTGCACATACTCCGTGCAATGATGGATGTGTAAAATTAATCATGATATGCATAGCCTGTGCATCGAACAACTGCATTCAATGCTGTCCACTACCAATGTCTGTATCACCGCTGTCCAGCATGGTCTCTGGGGCGCAGTCAAGCCATGTGTGAGCACAAAGTATTTCCTCTCCTGTTGATAGTGCCGAGTTCAATGTAGCACCAGAACCGCTGGCCACAACCCCGTGCAGCAGGCAACTAAGTTCCAGGCCCCACGTAAGTGATGTTGCGAGGACAGTTTCTCTGTTGACCAAGACAAACCATGACTTCCCCATACGTGACTATCTTCTTCCGTTCGAGCATGATCTCATAATGGTCGTCAGTGCTGCATACTGGAGTGCACCCTCAGGTGTTGCCGCCTTCAGCACGACACGCAACAGTAAATGGGGATTAGAGAATACACGTGCCAACGTAAGAATCGCATGTGCCCACCCTTTTGACGCTTGTCCCCCCCCTGCTTCCATATCCCAAGAGGCATCATATTCCTCACCCTCCTCGTCGCTGCTCACATCGCTGCTACTCACTTCCACCTCATAGTTAGGCGGCCTCGCATCTTTTTCATTGTTCCTTACTCTTGTTTCTTCAATGTCATATTCGAAATCGATCGGTAAAGAAGAGTCTTCGAACCCTCGTTCCCGTTGTTGTCCTGTCATTGTCCAGTCATTGAACACATCTTCTTCTTCTACCTCCTGCGTGGACATTGTGTTTATTGGAGAACGCACGATGAAGACTGTTCTCACAATTTCTTCCCCTGCTGAAGTGTGTCCATCTGCTGCATGAAGTGCAACATCTGCTTCCCTGGCCACCAACTTCCATCCTTCTTCCCTTGACCTATTTTTGTCCACCTCAGAAGTCGCAATGCTGAGGCGATACAGAGCTGCAATGAATATTTCATCCCACAATGGAGTACCACATACGACATCCTCTTCCACACTCCAAACCCTTTAGTTAATGAGGTCCTTGCCCGCCAGTGCTTGCTCTGTCACATCATGCAATGCCTCATGTATGACATTCCGATCGTCAGGTTTCTTTTTCATGAAATCCACCAGTTGGTCGAGTAAAACATACTCCACCCCATTTGCGATAACTACTGGAAGATCTTGAAAGTCTTGCGGGGGAGTTTGCGGTATGTCCTTCAAACGCGAGAGTACTAAAATTTATGTTGCACCGCTCTTCATCTCGTCCTTAGAATCTTTAACAAGCATTCCCCATTTCTTCGCCTTTGTCATCAGCGTCTGCTTGAAATCGGTTGGCATGTATGTTCCCCCTTTCTGCCGCTTTGTCATATCCACGTCGCCTTCATCGGACATCCCTTCTGTGCACATCCAACCAACCACTTTTCTCAAACTGTATGCACTGGTATCAACACTGTTGTCTACACGCAAATCATGCGCCTCAGTGAACCGTGCCAATAGCATCCGTGCTCTGAGCGACTCCTCTCCGTTCGCAGCAATGCTTGCACGAATGTTCACTCTGACGTCGAAGTAACTCGGCACTCTCACCGTGAGTAGTTCAAGCTCCCCGTCGTCATCGTAGTGGATGCCCTCCTCCGCGTATTGCATCACCTCTTGAAGAGTTGCCATCGCCTGCGCCACTGACATCGACATGATGGTTGTGCTTTTGTCTATGTGTCTGTAAGTGGAACGACAAAACGATGATTTCAAGCTCCGTGAGGGTTTGTTTAATGTTGTTTGTGTGTCCCTCTGCTGGAAGTATGCGGTCGTTCGACGCTGCCAGTCAGTACAC